CTTCCGCGAATGAAGTACAGACATTAGAGCATTTACCTAAATCTGTGCTAGCATTTCAGGCATTCACCCACCAACATAGTTTCATTACTGTTGAAGTATGAGCCTTCATTTCAGTATAAATGGGCCAAAACTGGGTTAAATTTACTTTATTGCGAAAATACTTTTAAAAAACTCAATTTTGCAACAGTAGAACACAACTGTTCAATGGAGCAACTAGTAGAAAGTTAGAATCCTAAAAAAAATTAGTAGTGACGCTTCCGGAATCCGGCACATTAATTTGCTTTAATTATGAAATATGTACGTTTTTCCAGGCATCTAATCGTCTCTGTGTATCAGTGATCATTAAGAGCATGCTTATATCTTTTCGAACAGAACAAAGCTAGTATATAAACACATTGCACCATCCAGAAGAGTATCAAAAAAGAGTAAGACGAAACGGAAGGAATGAAAAGTTTCTAGCTGTTGGAATATCGCTTTTCGATGCACTTCCCCGATGGGCTTTTCACTGGCGCCATTCTTTTCATGAAGGTAATGATCAGACGCTGGCCTCCATTTCCCCATCATCAACCAGGAGCATCCAATTGTAGGCCCAAAACCGAACAGCAGATACGTGGTAAGCATTGTGCATAGTCGCGTTCCCATAGAGCAGTACTCATTTAACAACAACAAACATTTAGCAAACTCACTGTAACAAAAGCAGAACATTGCTTGCGCATGTATGTACCGCGCAACGAGTTATTTGAGGCAAACAAATGTAATGTGCTACAAAGATCTATCAAGATACGCACACATCTTTCCCGTTAACGATGAGATTGTGGATATGCGTTGCAGTTGCATTTGTGCATGAAGGCCAATAAGTTGGACCTGATAGATGATGTGCTCGACAAGATTCTGAACAGCTTAAGATGCGCGGACGATGGTGGAATGCTACTGGAACTGTACGGGCTTGTTGCAAAACCTACAGTATATACCTCTTCGACCAAGTCGACAATTCGGTCTTTAATCATGAACCAGTTTCCTGTAAGAAAATCTTAGCGATTCTTTCATTTTCATTTTTATCTTCATCCTCTCTACCCACTTCACCTTTCTGTTCGCGGAGGCAGACACATCGGACATACTTCCAGCGCTTCCGATTCTGTGCCAGAGTCTGAGCCTCGGCAGAAGACAACTGGACTAGTCTGGAACACATACCTTCCATATATTTGCACCAGGCTAATCTTTGCTGTATCCTGGGCCTTCTGCCAGACTGCTGGGCAAAAAACAGTTTCTTAGCCTTTTTTTCTAAAAGCATTCGCAACACGCCCAAACCATCGCACCTGTGACTTCTCAACCTGGAAATGCAGAGGCTGTACACGAAAGCTCTCCCGGATGACAGTATTCCGGACAATGTCGAGACGCGTAAGGCCAGCGACTCGTCTAAGAAAGCCCATTTCAACAGCTTGTACCCGGGTTCGAAGCTTTTCAGTGATGGTCCACGATTCACGACCGTAGGTATGCATAGGAATGAACATGAAGTAGACATCGAAAACGTTGTTTTCAGACTCAGCTTCGCCTTAGTAACAGTAGTTGGGTCTAGTTCAAACACTGACTACTCCAGTTGGCCAGTCGATCTTTTCCTCAAATTTTCCATTACTGGTAAATACTCTACTTGACCTTCTCCACGTGCTCCACTGCCTCTCCGTTAATCTGAAGAGAGCAACGGGCAGGGGAACGAAAAAGCGCTAAGCTTTTCGTTTTAGATGCGTTCTCACGGCATGAGAACTTACACTCGGCTACGAACCTTTCTAAGGAGCACTGGAGATCAGTTTCAGAAGATGCTAATAAAATAAGGTCGAGTTCAAACAGTAAACTTCTTGTCGACACCTCCTACATAAATAATCTCATCGCTTTGCTGTTTGACTATTCTATCTATGAATAACACATGCAGGAAAGGGCAGAGAACGATTCCTTGGCGAAAAAAAGTTCCAGCGCTGAACGGTTTCGTCTTAATGTTATTTC